TAGGAGTTGTAGGGCCTGCTCGCGTGAGGTAGGCGCTCCCGCCGCAATGGCTCTGTTGAGAGAGCCGTGTCGTGTGGTGTGATATGGTTGGATGTCGCGCCGGACCGGGGGCATGTAGTCAAGGACCAGTTGGTCGTCGCCCAGGAGTCGATTGATCAGGTCGTGTGGCACGCCGATCCGCACCAATGCAGCCCGGTCCATGTTGCGGAATGTCGCCAAGTCGTCTATTCCGGCTAGGGCAACGAGCGGGGCGATCGCCAGCAAGGACCGCTGGTGTAGCCATGCTCGAATATCACGGAACGTCATCTCGGGGTGATCTGTATCAAGGGCCGAGAGGGGCCAAAAATGGCTATGTCAAATGTATCAAAGGTTTGCCACACGTGGAGACTAAAGCACAATGCAAACAATCAGGGTGAGCAAAAGTTCGGGGGGATTTAGGGGTGTTTGGCTTCAAACACATGGTGCGCCTTTTGCTCTTTGCACGGGTATCCTGACGTACCGCCAAACGAGGTTGCACTTCGGCGGCAGGTTCAGGAAGATGGGTCGTGCGAAGGCAACCGCGTTGGTCGGACCCTCCGGGCTCGCGCGGGACACGGACGCCCTTCGGGTCGTAGTGGTTGCGGTGCTGGTCGAGGTCCGTCACAGGGCGCTCAAGTGGTTGAGACGGTCCGCCCCCTCGAGGTCTTGGCAGGTCCAGAGCTTGAGGCGGCAAAAGCACAGCCCCATCACTCTGGCGAGGTCCGAGGACTCAAGGATGCGGGTGGAACTGGGGTCGTAGCGATAGCGCCGCATGTCGTAGAAGGGCGTGGCGGGTTGGTGGCGTTGTCGCTTCTGGCTGGGGAGCAGGTCGACTCGGAGTGGCTTGATGCGTCCCAGGTTGCGCTGGGCGACTTGCTCCAGCTTCTCTTGGGTCCAGAAGGTCCTGTGCATGTATGGCAGTTTCTGAGCCGTCTGCATGTTGTTCATGATCATGTCGGCCAGATAGGCGCGGGGGTCCTTGGCTTGTCGCAGGTCGGATGCGATCTCGTTGATGTGGACCTTCATCTGTTGGATGAGCTTGCCGGTCGTGTCCTCCTCCCAGCGAAGAAGGTAGAGCATGTAGCGCCGGTCGTCGTCGCCGGTGATGGCCTCTGCCAATTGGTCCGTCTCGTGTGCTCCAGCGGTGGCGCGTACCACGAGGCACTTCTGGGCCGGCACGAAGCGTTCTGTGTCGTCTTGGCCGGCTGCGGTCAGGGCCTCCCCTCGGGATGCGGCTTTGGCGTCACTGTAGGTTTTCCAGGGGTGGTATTGCTGGAGGCACTCGGGACAGAAGAACTGGCCGTGCTCGGTGATGTTGGCAGTGGCGCGCAGCCAATGTGACGAATGTACCACCGCTTTGCACGACTGACGTCGGCAGATAAAGTGCTCGTCGGTGGACGGGAGGACGCGGGTGATGAAATCGGTGAGGTGTGTGGGATAGTCGTCAGAGTCCAAGAACTCAAGGAGGGTCCCGGTGCTGTTTGCGCGCAATGCCTCGGTGAGGTGCTGCCTCTCCCATTTGTGGAACATGAGGAAAAGGTCTCGTCGGTCCTCGGGTGCCAGGTTGATGAGGTCGAGGCACATGGTTTCGGCGAGGAACTTGGAGTGGTCGCTGATGAGGCGGCGCAGGTTGTTGTTGGAGGTTCCGGGGTGGATCTCGCGCAAGGAGTCCATCATGTCCATGTGGGTGTTCGTGCGGATGGTGCCGACGGCCTTGTTGGTCATGTAGTCCAAGCGGCGTCGCCATGCTCGTCGGCACAGCTTGCTGAACACCTCGAGGGTGAATGGCCGGCGGTTCTTCACGTCGAGGGCTGGTACCCTGATCCAGCGGCGGTTGACCTGGTCCCACCTGTGCACGGTGATGTAGGCGTCGTGAGCGTCGTCCGTCTCTGGCACCGCAATCTGTAAGGTCGGTGGGGCGATGGTATGGTCGCTGATCATGGCCGCGAGGTCGGGGTGCTCTGCGATGGTGTTGTACGGTGCGTGTTCTGCAATCAGGGAGTTCGGGTCGGCCAGGAGCTCCTCGAACTGGAACCACGGCACGCTACTGGTGTCGCAGGTAGCGCACCCGTAGCACGCCCCGACCCACTTGTTTCGCCAGTCGGTTTCCTCTGAGAAGCAGAGGGGCATGATGTACTGGGATTGGTATGGGATCTGGCAGAACGAGCACTGCAGTGTGGCTGGTGTTGGATTCAGGTTGTGCCAGTCCAGCAGCAGGTAGCGTGTCCGTGTGTCCGGCTCGGTGTTGGTCGACTCCATGAAGAGGTCGATCGCGTCCGTGGTGGAGAGGCGGGGATTCTCGGTGCGGAAGGTCTGGAACCTCGAGAGGACGCCGGTGTTGTAGGACCGCAGGAGGAGCTCGCAGACTGCGTCGGTCTCGCGAAGTGCCATGTTGTGCGAAGGGGGTGCGATATCGGATACACAAAAGCCAGCCTGAAAATTCCTTCGGAATTGGAGGTGGCGCTTGCCGAACTCACGCAGGAGTCGGTAGTGTGCCGGGTGTGAGTCAAGGGGAGGGGGGGTTGGTCGGGCCAGGGGGGAGTGTCTTGGTGACTCGGGTCCAAGGATGGCCCGTTGATGGGGGGGATCTGTACGACGCGCCACACCGGCACAAACGTCGTGTTATACGACGCGCCACACCGGCACAAACGTCGTGTTAGATGACACGCCACACCGGCACAAATGTCATCCCGAGGGGTGGAGCTGTCCCGTAGGACCAACTCCCTGCGGTGTGAAGGTGACCGGGGTCGGCCAGTTTGTCATCAGGGATCCGACCCGAAGAAACCGAGGGTAATCCACAGGGGATCCGAAGTGGGGTGAAAGACCGGTCGGGTTCGGGGCAGGCGAGTGGGGATTGGTCACCGCAGTATGGGCCTCAGCAGTGGGTCGGTTTGTCAAGGGGTATCCTCTCGAATCAAACAGGGGGGACGAAGAGGGTCGACCCGGGCTCGAGGCTCTCAGCGCTTTTGCGCGGTCCGAAGATGGATCTCTCTTCGGGAAAAGGGGGCCTCAGGCGGTCGCCTAGGCATGGGTGTCACCTGTGCGGTATGAGGGTCATCGCCCTATTGCTGGCCCACCATCGCACGGGACATGGACTTGGTGGGTCAACTTAGGGTAGCTGGTTTGGGGACTCCTCGGTGCCGCCTGGTCAGTAGCGGGAGTCCTGGCTCTGCTCAGTCTTAGAGCTCCCGGTTGAAGCGCAGGTGTCCGTCGGGGCCGAGCAGGATGCCCTCGATGGTCGCCATGGTGCGTTGTTCGGGGGTCAGGAAATTGGAAATTGTCTCAATGATGGTCTCCCCGAAGGTGATTGCCATGTTGTCCACAAAAGGGTCTCGCCGGGAGGCGCGACAGAGCTGCCTCCCGAAGGTAAGCCAGGAACAGGTCAGTTGTTGTAGCATGTGCTGCCGGTTGGCGCTGTTGAGCAGCTGGAGTTGTTGGTGAACGTGTTGCTGGATAATCCAGCGCAGCAGGCTCCTGAGAGGTGTGACCTGCGTAGTTGGTTCCACGGGTACAAGAAAAAGGCCCCCGAAGTCATTGCCGTACACATTGGTGGGGGTGCGCGAGAAGATGCCGTAGTTGGTCAGGTGCCATTGCAAGCCGATGTGGTCGAGGACGGGGGGGAATTCCGGTAGCAGTTCCGGATTGATCAGGAAGGTGGCATCTTCGTGTACCCGCGCGCGGATGTGTCCGGCCCGCTGGGTTGACAGCAGGCCTTGTGTGCTGTCGTCACGGTCGATGCCTGGCGGCTGGAGCCACTGGACTAAGTCGTGATGTTGGTTGGATGGTGTGGAGGGTGCCGCCTTGGATGGTGTGGTGGGTTGCGGGCGTGGTGAAGGCATGTGGTGCGGGACGGGCCCGGTCGATGTGGTGGTCGCCTCCGGGAATCGGGCCTGTCTGGGAGTGTCGCGAGCCGTGGGTGTCGCGAAGTTGACGGTCCGCGGTGGTGTCATAGCTCGGGAGTATCCCGGTTGTGTGGAGCGGCCTCGCTGCTGTCGGGGGGTGTTGTTCCGTTGGCGAGACGGGTTCAATGTGCTTGGCGGGCCACGTGGTACCGCGTATGGCATCTGGTAGGTGCACGGATCGGGGTACCGAACGTTCGTGTGGTGAATGGGCGTGTTCCACTCGCCGTGAAGGTGGTCGCGGAGGATTTCAAAGGCCTCCCGCCTGGACACAAAGCGCCATTCACGGTGGGCTGTGTCATAGTGGATGCCCACGCCGGTGTTGGGTCTGGCATGGTGCACGAAGCGCAGCCAGGCAAGAAGGTCACCATGCAGGACTGAGTCGCTGTGAACATGGCGGCATTCGGTACCACTGTCGCAAAAGCCTTCTGGATGTCGGGCCTGTTGTCGAAGATGTCGGTAACAAATGTTGTCTCGCGGCATCCAACGCGCATCAACGAACTCCGGATGCAAAAAGGCGCACTGGTGGGCAGAGGCAGGTGCACGTCCCCTGCAGCCGGAATGGTTGATGAAATGGTTGCAGACCTGATTGCCCTGCAAGATGTTGCCCGGACCGACCGCCTCGGGCAGGATCGAAAGATGGTCTTGAAGGGCCCGGTACAGTCGTTCATAATCCGGGTCGAGCTCGGTCATTTCCATGAGCTGGTACTCCTCCACGATGGATGCGAAATTCGCTGGAGCAGTCATGGCGGTCGAGCAGGCAGGGCAGGTAGGTCGGAAAGAAAAAGAAAAATTTGGCTAATTCGCCAAAATGGCGAACGGAGCATGAATCAAGCAGTGTCATCCTGCAGGCACTCAAGGTTCGAATCTGAGTGTGATTCAAATGCCTTCCGCTATCGGTTGTTACTTTTAACACAAGTGTTAACCGCAACAATGCAAGTAAGAGAGCCCTCATATTTCGGGACCTTCATGGGCCTAAATCCTTTGTTTTATCACAAGGAAAGACGAAGCCGATTTTCCCCGCGGGTCCAATGTTTATCTTGCAAGACCGCCGTTTCTTTTTCTCGCTCTTGCACGAGTTGCCGCTCTTCCCAGGCACCGACTCGAAGGACTCAGGGTTGACGGGCTTCTCCATGCCCCAGGCCGCTGGCGCGCACTCGCAAGGGTGCAGCCAGTAATCCGCCGGGGCCGTGGTGTGGGGGTCGTCCACCACCATGGGCGCCAGGCCTTCCTGGACCCCCAAGACGGGACTCCAGGGAAACTAGATGAGTTTGTCAATATATGAATATATATATATATATATATATATTTATTTATTTTTTTATTTATATATACATATATGTGTAATTGGTTATATATAAAAATATAGATATACCGGTTTGTACATAATATTTTTGTGTTTTTTTATGTTTTGTTTTGTTTTTTTAATGAATATATATATATATATAGTATGCGACACCCCCACCTCCGGCTCCGTGATGTTGGGCTTCCCGCAGGTGGCTACCCCAAAGCTCACCCCGCCCGACAGGCACTGCACCACTGTGCCCCCGAGCTCCACCTCGTGCCAGCGAGGTACATGAACTCTGTGCCTACTGCAGAAATGGCAACTTCAGTTAGGGGGGACCCTTTTGTAGATATCATTTGGGTGGGGATTAACGTCCACACACCACTTTTGAGGTGGTTGCGTACTCAACATCATGACAGGTCGCCATAAGAAGCTTTCCAAATTGAGCGAAAATCAAGCCTATTCCGACAAAGTTGCTCTCTGCTTGTGCCTATGCCCCTGGAAACAAACAAAGGGACGTTTGTAAATACAGTATTTGCACACGACTATTTGTTCTTCTTTTGGGATGGTGCTTCGCGTGGAGGCGGGGCCACCGCTTCACAAATGTGTTTTGCTCGAAACCTGGACTGTACTTATTCAGACAAGACAATGTAGCCAACAAGAAAGTACATGGAAAATAATTTGCCGTGAACGTTGTTAAGCACTCCCCACGCATGCCGTGCTTTTCAAGATTGGAAGCGCCTAGCCATGATTTCAATGCGTCTCATGCCCAACCAATATGACCCCGAAATGCCAGCCAAGTCAACCCCTGCTCCAACAGCGGAATCTGCCTCCCCCGAGTCTGGCTTGATGTAGTCCTTGCTCGAGTCAGCCTGGCGAAGGATCCAACTCCCATCGCTGCAACCGTCCAGGGGACCGTCGATTGCAGCCACGTACTTGCCGAGATACCTGCCGGGCACTCTGCTGGGCATGTGGCACAACCTGCCATTGAATGAGAGCTGTCGCAGGGTGCGCATGCAGGCTCCCCAATCCACAGTGCTGCTGGAGAGCGTCCATCCACAGTGCTGCTGGAGAGTGTGACAGGGGTGCTAGCAGACTGCTGTTGTAGTGTGCTGTTGCAAAATTGTGCAGGGCGCCGTCACACAATGCAATTGAGAGTTGCGCGAGGAGCTGTTGGGTGTGCAGGGTGCTGGTACTGCAGCATGCTGTTGCACGCGGTGCCACTGGAGCGTGTCTTGTGCTTTCGTTTGCACTCATGGCTGTCAAACGCGTACTCTCACACTATATGCGGTCCTGCTGGAGCAATTGACTATTTTCTGAGTGACCAGAGTATTGTTCTCGGGGTGACCTCTTTCTGGTTATTGTCACAAGCTTCCCCAAAAAGGAACCAGCACGGCTACAAATCCTCGTTTTGAGTTAAAGTCTTGTCAACTTCGGATTAATCCGCAGGACCACACAAACCAAGGGTGGTTCCACATTTGGGAAACAGGGATTTTTGTATGGACCTCTGGAAGCTGAAGTGAGCATTGCTCCATAGGCACAAAAACTCAAGAAGATCAGATCCGAGGTGCAGCGTCTCCTGCGGGGTGGCGCCCTCCTTGAGGTACAGCACGTCGCTGCGAAACAAATCCGCCGTCACCGGGCAGAAGAGCCCCGAGGAGTACCAGCTGCCGCTGGACACCTCCAGGCACGCCGCCTCCGCCGTGCAGTCCGTGACCTGGCTATCGGGGGGGGGAAGCCGGGGTAGGCGGTTGTAGCGGATTCAGCGGATGAATGTACTGCCTGAATATGCTTCAACAAACGCTAGTTCCTAGTTCTAGAAGTTGTCAAGGGTTGAAGGGGCTCCTTTGGGGACTGAATAATGATGAAACTTGCCTCTGCATTTGGTGTTAGACAGCGGGGAACGGAAGTGAAAGTGACACTGGCTAACTCCATCCAGACTCCGGGCAACAAGTTGCCGATGTCATCTTGTACTGCAAAATGCGTGCTCTGGCTTGTCCTCGATTTCAAGCACTGGTAAAAGACTGGTAAAAGACTATCCAAAGTAAAGACAAACTGTGGCCCCGTTACACACATCCATTCGCTCAACCGCTGCCCTAGTTTTGCCCTCCAGACCTTGGCCCAGGCGTTCACCGTGGTGCCGGTGGCATGAGCCATGTGCCTGCGGCACTCCCCGGCCACCCACAGGAAGCTCGGACACTTAGCGTCCGCCCGGCAGTTGGCTCGACAGTCTGCCTCAGAACTCGCTGCGTCCATGATGTAGAAGCTCTTGAAGGCCTCGACTCGACTTCGAACCAAAAAACAAACGTCGATCCCTCACCCTCTTGCCACCCCGAATTGAAGGGAGTCGAGTCTATGGCCGCAATCGCCAAATAACTCCCAGCTTTTCCCAACATGGATTCCCGGATTAGCACCGGCAAGGTGACAAGCCCAAATTGCCCGGAGTGGCTCTAAGCTCCCATTCTGGTCCAGCCTCGTAATTGCGTTGTCTCGAGATTGGCTCCCTTTGGTAGGCAGGGGAAATTGTCGCAGCCCGGAAACATGGAATCCCGTGCAAGGGACCTTCATCAGAAGTAAAGATATAGATTTTCTGGGGGTATGCCTTTTGAGGGCAACCCTGTTCAATCGGAAACGGGGTGTGAAACACGCACACGCGCACTGCAGCGCTTTTCCCAGCAGGGATGTCCTGGTCTCGAGCCTTGACGGCCAGTCGGGGGTGACACATGTACCTATTGACTCAGGTTGATCGTTACTTCGCTTTGCGAACGGCCACCTTTGGTTGGTGTTTTACCTGCCGTATGCCTTGCGCTGCTTCGCGAAGAGCATCGCGATCTTTTGTGCCTTTTTTCAGACCATCCGCCACCATGTCCCTGGTGTCCAACCAGGCAATACTTGCCACCTGCTTCTCCAGCATCTCCCGCAGCCTGAGCACATGGATCAAAGCCCACAAGTCCGTCGGCGTCTTCAATTTCACCGATGCCAGTCCTGCACGGACTTCGCATCTATGGCTGCCATCAACTGCAGCGCGTTCGTGCCCTGCTTCTGGATCTCTTCCAACGCCTCAAGCTTCTGCCGTTCATTGAGCACCTCCGCGAGCGTCAGATTGATGTTGAGAGGTTGTGGATCAACGGTGTCGTCACCCACCGATGACACAGATCTGGGCGCTCCCGAAGAAGGAATTGCTCGCCCATCTCCAGCTCCATCATTCTGCTGATCATCGGCCTCCCCGTCAAGAATCATCTTGATCTTGTTTGCAACCTTTCGTCCAAAGTTTGCCCTCGCTGGTGCATGCAGCACACGATGCTGCACGTGCTCAAGAGCAATGCCCATCAAGAAAGCCAGGTGCCCCAAGATGCCGTCCTCATGGACGTTGTGTCCACCGCGTTGCTGCTTGCCTGCAAACGTGCCGACCGAGCCCTCAAGTGGGTACTCATTGTACATGCCCATAGTGCCCTTGAGCTGAACCGGAAACATATCGTTGCAAGACTGCCGAAGGTCCTTCGTGTCTCGTTGGTCAAGCTTGGTTGAGTTCCGAAGCATGCCGTAGAGACCTTCGTGGGCGCTCTCATCCTTCATCTCCTCTGCATAGGGCTGTGACAATCCTTGGTGTCCCGGCCCGTTCCGTCTCTCAGCGTGCTCGATGATCTGCGGGCCACCGTGAAACATCTTCTCGGGTGAGCTTGCCATGGCTTCATGGTGACACCAAAGGCGAGTAGAGCCAGTAGGTTCTGGGCGTCGTGAGCACATGGCTCCGCTACCAAATCGGAAACGGGGTGTGAAACATGCACGCGCACTGCAGCGCTTTTCCCAGCAGAAATCAACAAGAGTCTGAGTCCTTGCATTTGGACACACACACACACACACACACACACACGCGCCTTGGCGACCCAGCACACATTGTCCAGCACCCCGATGATCAAATTCGCTTTCACCGGCGCCAGGGACTCGTCGGGAAAGACGCCCCAGACCCCGCAGCTCAGAAACACCTCCAGGGCTCCCCCAGAAAAAATGCCACCCAGGCCCCTGGACATGACAGAAAAGTGTTTGCAGGTATGACAACCTTGGTGGCGTTCCAACCTTTGCATGCCCCGAGTTGCGAACATCGTGACTGGCGAAGGAAAAACGATTGGGAGCAAACCAGGCAACAAAACTGCAGATGCATTGTGCGACTTCAAGTCTTACTTTTGCAGTGGCGTGACACTCCGGAGTCAGGAGCCAATTCCTTCGTAAGCCGCAGCCTTCTTGCGGGTACTACCAAAGCTGGGCAAAGCGTCGAAGATCGCCGACATCTCGGCACCAGGGGAAATTGAGATGCCGCCATCCTCGGAGACCTGAGGCGGAATTTGTATCCTGAGTTGTGTGTGTGTGTGTTACCGTGTAAAATGGGATTTCATAACCAGCCTTTCGGCATGTGCTATGCAAAGGCCAAAGGCCACGGACCCTTGGCCCTTGATCTATCGTCTATTATGGGGCTGGGATCACGGCGAATGAGCCTTTCGCCTGCCTCCAGCAAGGAGTGGCCCTCCAGCAGCCCAGTGCCCAGCAGAGAGTCGAAGGACCAGTTCCTCAGTGCCGTTCCGGAGAGTCGAGACTCGGTCGAGACTCGGTCGAGACTCGGTCGGGACTCGGTCCGGACTCGGTCGAGATCAAATGTCGATGGATCTTTGGAGAGCAAAGGAAGGCATGGGCCTCCGGCAAAAGGCCTACAGCTGAGCTTCAAAGCCGGCGAGGCGTCGCAGGCCACAAAGAAGTTGGAGGGCTTCAGCAAGCCCTCCTGAGAGTAGGGAGGAGGTTCGCAACAAACATGGTAAGTGCACAAAGGTGCTTCCCCACTGGAAGCTCTGCAGCTCTGCCCCGTTGAAAGCTGTTTGCAGGTTTCCCTTGCAAAGGCATGGCTTTGCCAAGTCGCCCAAAACCTCCGACAGCTGCAAAGAGTGCAGATATGTCTCTGAATGGAGAGCCAAACTCTAATTACCACATTTAAAGGAACCTTGCAGCTGACAAATACTAATTTGACAAAGCAATGGCTCCGATGCGGGCCCTTTGATTGCTCACTTGGACTTTCTTGGGGCTGTCCGCAAATGCCCTCCAGGGTATGTTCAGTTCATCCCAGCATGAATCGCCATGCTTCCATGTTCTTATTGTTGACACATCTCTCTTTTCGCGGTTTTAGGGTTTCTCGGAGCCTCCGAGCGTCTCCCGCAGGCGGCACCAGGCTCAAAACGGGCAGCTGCTCTCCCAGCGTCACCGACACGGCGCTGGCCTCGTAGCGGAGGCTGGCCCACGGCTGCGGCCAAATCGCCACCACCTGCGCGTCATTTCCTTGAAGTGGCGAAACGACAACGTTTACTTCGTCACATCCATTAGTGAACACAAAGACGGTTTGCAGGCAAAGAAGCTGCACTTTGTGCACAAAGTTCATTGTTGAAAGAGCCGATGATTGCCCTCAGGCGGCTTCGGGTTCTCGGATTTGGATTGGAGTTACGGTGTAGAAATGTGTGGTTCAGGTTAGGGTTCGTTTTGAGAGCTAAGCCTTGCGGTTTCTGGGTTTAGGCTAACGGTTTCAGGACCTGGGTCTAGGGTTTCAGGGCTTCAGGTCACCGTTCGAAGGGAAATCTTAGTTGAGGACTGTTTGGTGGAGATAGCTCACACGGGCTTTGTACCAACCAGAACGGATTGGAGAATGTTCCCCATTCTCAAATCATAGCCACAAGAGCTCCGTGTTTGTCGCTTAGCCCGCGCCTTGGCGGTTCGCTGTTGCCATTTGGTGCTTGCCGGCGGCAAATGCCATGCAGAGACCACGCAAACACCGCCGCTCTGCCCTGCCAGGGCCGTATCTTCCGTGGCGACAGCACCAGCAGAGTTGCTGGTGCCGCGGGTGAGCGTACCGCTAGCGTCCACCTGCAAGAAACCGACGATTTCTAAGGGCGGCAAATGCTGTTGACTTGGGAACTCAGGCTTCCGGGAAGTGCACTCTTGCAATCAAGCAGTCCAAGTCCCAATTTTTGACGACCCACTCCGACACTAGTTGATTCAACTTTCCTTTCCTTTGCGCCTTGAGTCAGTCGGTCCGAAGTTGCTTAAACCAGACCCCGTCGGCATGCCTGCAGCCAGGCCGTCTGCGGCGCGCAGGTGGTGCTGAAGTCCTTCCAGGTACCTGCAGTTCAACCTCTCAACCCGCCCAAGCCAGAATATGACATAATATGAGGAACTCTCCAAATTCCCGAATCCAACTTGCCAACCTCACAAAATCTTCAAGATCACTTTTCAGCCAGAAGCCAGGCCTGGCGCCTTCATGGCTGGAAAGCTGGAGGGGCTCTCGAAGAGCAGCACGGGCACGGAATAGGCAAGCCAGTCCTCAGAGTATGGAGTTCCATGGGAAAGAAATATGTTTCACTGTTTGTTGATTTGACTTTAGCAATTGGAGAAATCCACGAAAACCCTTTGGTTGATTGACTTGAAAGTTAAAACCTTCCTAAGAAAAGTAGAAAAAGCGGATGGAGTTTGGCTGTGAATCCATAGCCACGCGGACCTTGGCATCGAAGGTCACGCCTGCCGCCTGGTGCGCGGTGACTGTGCACTCGACACTGAAGGCCTCTTGTGCCGGATCACGACCTGCACGGCTCCGCGATTTGTCGGAGCAAAGGTCACGACAAAAGACTGCAACGCCTACCTCATATCCCAAGCAAAAGACGGGAGTGGTAGGCCATGTAACCCGTGAAACGGTGAACCGACAAGTTGCTTGCCCAACCGACGGCGCCTGGCACGGAGGAGACAACCCCCGTGGCCCCGTCCATGGTGAGGTTGTAGTTCGCCAACTCACAGCCTTCGTCCAGGGAGTAGCGCTCCGCGGTCCGGGGCGTGGGAGTCATGGACACGGTATCTCCCAACGCCCAGTGCCGGACCTGGCAAGACTTCAAAATAGACTTAGACAGCTTTTTCATCCTCTACTCAGAAAGAGCCGTGAGGTGGAGGTGGTAGCACCCGGCCTCGTAGGCGAATGGCGTGGCCGTCACGTGGCCTCCCCCGCACTGACAGCATGCCTCATTGCTGCTGAGGCCTTTGACCTGAGCAAGGCTCACTTTCTTCGATATCCCGCCTGGGCTCATGAAAGCGACCTCCCAAACATTCCCCTTTAGATGGGGAACAACTAGTCTCCAAAGTAATTCCGAGAACACGTCAACATGTTCACTTCAAGGGACCCGAGTCCTCCGGTTCTGTTCCCAGAACCTCACCATCAGAGCAGCTTAGCCAAACCTGCAGCACTGATCCCTGAGCAGGTGAGTTCTCCTCAGATGCCTGTGAACCATATATTGCGAAATTGGTAGAACTTTGCAAATTACTGGCAAAGCCCTAACTATTTCCAATGAAACCATGTGATAGAATCAAGCGCCCACGCCTTAACATCGTCGCAGCCGCCGGTCGGCAGCTGAGCACAGGTGAGGCCGGCCGAACTCGCCCAGCCCACAGTGTCGGCGCAGGATATACACTTGCCTCACAGTGCCAAATGCAAACTGGGAAGCTCTTGTACAGGTGTTTCTCTGAAGGATCCCCAGAATGGTTGGTTTCCTGCTCAATACCAACTCAAGTAAGGTTCACCATTCTGAGCAAGCCTCATATTGTTTACGTTGCTTACCCCCAAAATGGTGGCTTCCTTTTTGGTTGGGTGGAAAAGGTGATTTATGTTTGCTGAATATTTCGCCGCCTCCCTCAAGGATTACTTTGCCAGGTAGCGCTGCTGATCGCCCTCTTTCCGGAACACAACTCGGTGTCCCACTTCGTAGACAAAGAGGGAAGCTTGAGTCAGTTCAAGGGGTTGGTCTAGGGGTGTTTGGGTTTAGGCGGTGGTTGGCTCACGTTTGGCTTTTGGATTGTTTGACACGTGTGTGTGTGTGTGTGTGTGTGCGTTTGTGCTTGTGTTTGTGCTTTGTGCTTGTGTTTGGGTTTGGGTTTGTGTTTGCGTGGCTTCTTTTAGGGTTGGCTTTGGGCTGGTTTAGAGTTGGTTTGGGAACAATTTAGATATGTTTTCGGGTTTGGGCTTTCAAGTTCAGGTTGCGCATGCATGGTGCTTTAGTTTCAGACTGGGGGACTGTGGTATGGTTTTTTGTGACTTTAAGGATTGATATATTGAGCAAGTTGTGTGCGTGCTTTGCTGAAGAGTGGTTGCAACTGCGATGTCTGAATCAGTCAACGGGGTCCTCTACTGTCGATGTTTTATAACATGCTGCTAAGTGTTGCTGCTCATTCAAAGTAGCTGCGATTATCTTAGCATCTTTCTTTCATTCCTGTTTGGCATTGTAGTTGAATTAGAATTCGAATCGAGTCCAGTACGGAAAAAGGAGCTTGTTGTTTCTGCCAATTTGTCTGCCCCTCAAAAAGAAGTGAACAACCAGAAGCGCAAGGACAATGCGATTTCAGTTTCAATGGTTTACACGCTTTAACCTGCCACGCTTTAAGTTTGAGGCATACTTTAATTAGAATTCAATGTAAAATTGTTCTCTGAAATAGAATTACCTAGTGCGTCCTTTCCACATAGGACTCCAATTGGGATTTGTATTCAGGAGAAACAAGCTGCTTGGTGCTTGTTCAAATTTTCAAGCCCCTCAAAAGGAGTGAAAAACCAGGAAAAACCCATGAAAAGTGCAATTATATTTCAATTGGTTTGCAGGTGATCGATTGCAAGGCTTTAAGTTTAAATTGGACTCCGATGAGAATTCACTTCAAAATGCCATGCTGATTTAGATGTTAAATAGTAACTAGGTTGTCAGTTGTAGTTTAATGAGAATTATTATTCTCGGATGCTCAATCGGAATTTGTATTTGAACATATGAGTTCCATTAGAGTTTAATTAAATTTCATATGTTGAATTAGCATTTAAACAGAATGATGTCCAAGTCAACTCTAGAATTTTGAATAGATTCAAGCAAATCTGGTAAGGATAAACAAGCTAGATAGTTCAAATAGACTTCTTACATTTAATTGGATCTGTAGAGGAACTAATTAGAGTTTGTATTGTGAAACTGATTTGAAATCGGATTCCCTGGCAAGTAGAACTCTAAGTACAATTCAATTGAAAATTGAATCGAAACTACTAAGGAAAGACAAACAAGCTGGTAATTTCCTCCAATTTGCCTAGACAACCCAAAGCAAACCCGAGAACAGAAGTAGACCCATCAGAGACACAGAAAACCAAGAAAAAAACCGAAAATCAGAAAACGAAAAAAACTCGAGAAAACCAAACAAACAAAAACAACCTCGAGGAAAACAAAAAACAAAACAAAAAGCAAAACAAAACTCGAGGGGCAAAACAAACCAAAAAAATGTGTCCAAAACTCTTTCAACATGATTTTGCACCCAAGAGTTTCTAAACCATGTTTTTTCTTGTTGTTTTTGGTTTGTTTGGTTTTCTCGAGTTTGTGTGGTTTTCCTCGAGTTTGTTTTCGTTTTACTGTGTTCTCGACATGTTTCCTCTGTATGTGTTGGATCAAGTGCAACTGACATGGATGACCCATGGGAAGACTGCAAGCCTCAAAATGCGCAAAAAAGCAGTACCCAAGTCCCCCTGTTCTGTTTAGTTTAGGGTTTTTGTGGTTAGTTTAGGCTGTGTTTTGCGAAGGTTGGCTTGCAGCAGGGGTGGGTTTTGGTTGTGGGTAGCTGTCCGATTGGTTTTGGGGAGGCTAGTTCAGGGTAGGTTCAAAATATGTTTCGGCTGATACCCTGTTGCCCTAGCATTCTCGCCTGCTCGAAGCAAGAAGCCCCCAGCGCACTTCTGGCAACTGCCAGCGCTGCTCACGGCGCAGCCAGCACAGGTGGTGCTGCTTTCGGGGCAACAGCCTTCAGCGAAGCTGGAGGCTGAGTAGTCGCGGAGTTTCAACTCCCCAGCTGGGCAAGCCGAGTGCACTGATGCCACCGCAGCTTGATCTCGGTTTTCTGCGTGCGCCTCTATTCGAAGCTTCTGGGATTTTGCTGCGCAGCCTTGGAACAAAGCCGTTTTGTTTGCCAAAGAAGAGGAAGGCCCAGCCGGGGCCAAATAAGTACCCGCAAAGTCTTTCATAGAACTTCTGATGCTGTCCACTTCCTCTTTCATGCGTTTCTCCTCATTGGTCCGCTCTTGTTCGTGCTCCCTCATCTTTGCCACGTCCTCGCGCATGTGTTCGATGACATTCACCAGCTGGTCCAGAGATGCCTTCTTCTGGAGCAACCCTCGTGCCTCCGCTGCCTGCACATGTGTCCAAATCCATCACTTTGAGTTGAAACATGCCTCGATGAAAAGATTTGCTTTTATTTGGAGACCTCATTCAGTGTCTACTCACTAAATCGCCAAAGGTGGTTTCTTCGCGCCCAAGTATAAGTTTGAGATTCATACGCGAATGCAAGCAAGGCCTGTGGGTCGTCTCAGAAAGGGCCCTCCAAGGACAAAGCAATGATGGGTTTCCTTTTGATTTCTGTTTGGAAGGATGCCCATATGTAATTGTACCAAGTCGGCACCTGCCTCGCAAGATCCATCACACTTCCGGGCAGTGGCTGCCACAGAGAAGAATAATGCATGCAGCAGCGGGGAATACATCCTTCGCACTGCCTGCGTAACGGTAGGGGGGGATTAAGGTTTTGAGCTGCAGATCGCCGGAAAGGCATGTAGATGTAACAGCGGATCAACACCAAACACGGCAGAATGGGTGGCGCTAGGCTTCGCAACTTCAAGCAAAACCGCCAACAAGAACACGTGCAAGGACATTAGGTTCGAATGAATATGCAGGAACCGAATTGTGAAAATTTAACGCGCAATCATTGCAACGAGCATGAGAATCTCCTTTATTTGGACCTCGAACCCTGTGTATCTAAGCTATACCCGATTGGCTGCAAGTACTCACATTAGTGGCTGGCAAAGGCATGCAAAGTGGTCCAACCCATTGGTCAATGGTCAAAGGTCGTATTTACCAAAAAACGGTGAATCCACGCAACAGTGATCCTGGTTATCCTGTTCCCCCAATGTTGCCAACAAAGCACAAGCGCCGAGGGGGCGCACAATCCCACGTACTTATACACTGGGCAATCTGGTTGCCGGCTTCCAGAATTGCAAGCAGAACCACAACTCGGCCAACGCAGGTTGGGAAATGGGTTGGAAGCCCTTGAACTCTGAGTGGGCTACATACCTCAGAGTTCATACACGCCATTAAAAGAATTCACTCCGCTCGCTCTCGGCACTTATTCACACACTGTATTGACCAGGGATTTGCATAATAGTGTCAACCATCAGGTCAACCGATTTTTGTGAAGAAACCGTATCCAGGGCCAAAGCGAGTGTTGCCGAAGTGGGTATCTCCTCCTTCGGGATCAGGTGCCACGAATTGGGGTAGCAGGGCATGCCGAATGAACTCAGGTGCAGAGAGCTTCGCTGGTTTCGATCTGAGGAATGTGTTGACGATTGAACCTCTTTCACCACCGTGGAACGCGAACATTGGGGACCTCTCCTCAAGAGCCGACTCTTGGGAGACGCGCTCATGTGTACGACAACAACTTGCTACGCGATCAAGCAGAAGGAGTCAACTACTGCAAGAACACGAAAAAGTGAGTAGTAAGGAAAGGCTGCCTATAGGGACCTAATTATTTGGGATTTTTGGTCCCCAAACCCTGCAAAACAGCCAAATTCTTCAACCCGCTGAACGTTTTTCCGATGTCACCGGTCTTTGTCACCACTCCGTTTTGGGTGCAAAAAGCGCTGAAAACGGCGAACTCCGAAAAGTGCGTTTTTCGTGTCCTGCGTCAAAAGTGCTGCCTGGGGCTCCAAATTCGCTCGTTTTCCTTCGAAAACCGGCTCCAGGTGTTCGCATTGCTCCGAAATCCGTATTCTACCCCGAAAAACCTGCGAATTCCAGCCCGCTGAGCTTGTCACCGCCGAAGTCACCGGTCTCTAACACGTCAGCCCGCCGAGGCACAGCCCAGAGTCAGCCAGCGTCTGACGCGGCAGCCCGCCGAGGTGCTCCCGAGTAACACGTCAGCCCGCCGAGGTTCTTCCACGTAACGCGTCAGCCCGCTGAACTCGTCACCGCCGAAGTCACCGGTCTCTAACACGTCAGCCCGCCGAGGTCCCGGGAGGAATCGAACCTCCGAAACGTCGCTACGGAGAGCAACGCCTAAACCATCTCACCATGGGCTCTCGTTACCTGTCCAAAACGGCGCTTTTTGGCCCAAAAACGGTCTCACCGCGATGTCACCGCTTCGTCACCGCTCTCTTTGGGGCCGAAAAGTGCGCAAAAGGCTTGGAAAAGCGAAGTCGGAAAATCCGACCTCGCTCCATACCGAAGTCGGATTGGGGCCTGGTGCGGGCCTGGTGCGGCCCTGGCAATCCTGTGTTGGCCGCAGGATTGGAGCTTCAATCCTGTCTTCAGCCCAGGATTGCTTTACTCAATCCTGTCGCCACAGCAGGATTGCCCTGATGCAGCACCAGCAGCTCAGGCTTGGAGCTGTTCTTGCCCGAGCACAGCCTTGTGATGGAGCCGGCCCTGCTGTAGAGCTCCCAAGCTTCAGGCACGTCGTTTATGCTCAGGAGGAAGGGCAGGCCGCTTGCGAAGAGCGCGTCTCGGAGCTCTGAGTGGAAGGCCAGGTCATGCCCCCGCCTCCTCGTGCCATAGTAGTTCATGCTGCGGCCTGGGAAGATGTAGGGAGGGTCGGCATAGATACAACGCCGCGGCGCTTGGCTGGGCAGAGCGCGTAGATGGGCCAGTGCGTCCTGGCATCGCACGGTCACGTTTGTGGGCGGCCGCTGCAGACGCCGCACGCTGCTCAGCGCCAGTGGCCGCTGCTGTGCGAAGGAGCCCCACTTTCCCGAGAAGCTGTTGCGCAGCAGGACGTACGAGCAGGCGGCACGGCGCCCGGCGCGGCCTCTCTGAGCGCCTGGCAGGAGG